ATTGATAAATAATTTTGAAGAAACTAATCTCGTGATACTGAAATTTGAATACATTTTTGATCCAAAATGTGAGAAAAAAGTAAAAATTACATTTTAATAATATGTTTATAAATTGTTTTTATCATTTTAGGTAGTATTCTGCTAATTAACACCAAAAAATGAGTTTATTTGTACACGTTTTCAAAATTAGGTTATCGAACGTAGTCGGATACCTTAAAGAGTCACAATAAAGCTATAGGGATGGTGCAATGAAATATCCATTGTGATAAATTAGAGCAATAAAAAGGCCTGCCTCTGTTCTAGCAAAGATTCGAAGCTTTAGTATGAAATAGAACTCAATGCTGCTGTGCTAAAAAGTCGCTAGCCATGCCAAATGTTTGTATCGTTCAGCGACATCTTCTTTACCAGAAGCTGCCCTGTATAAAAAATAGGTAAAAAACCGTAAAAAAAAATGCAAAGTAAAGAAGAGTTTCATTCTCTACCTCAACGCTTCTTAAACTGTGGGTTGTTTGCGATTTTGCGATCTCTGGAGTAGCAAAGCGATTGTTTTTTTTTTAAATTTGGTTGGCTTGTGTTATTACGGCAAGGCTTCGAGGCTATCTGCTTAAGGGAAGGTATGACTTCGTGGAGGACTTTCTAAGGGAAACTCGCTTGTATACACGTTACACATGGAGAAACACACGAAAACACCCATGCAGCCAGCCCCGTTCGCGGGTTTCAAAACTCCGACTGAAATACCAGTTTCAGCGACTTATCAATTTGCTGCTGCTGGGATCGAAATATTGAGATGACGAAAATTTAATTGATACACGAATTAAAACACAATATTAATTATTATACCCTTATTACTTTTCATTTAATTTATTACTTATTCTGTACGGACACTTATAAAATAGTAATGCTCGTCAAGCTGACAAGTAAATTATAATTGCAAATTGAAAAATGACACTAAGTGTTGCATTACTATTTCAGCATGTAAGTTATTTCAGAATTCAAAATATGCCACAAACGTTCAATGCATATTGTCCTGCCCGCACAACTGTGCCGAGGAAAATGTCAACATCACTGAAAATATATGCTACCTTTCCCGTATAGTGGACACTGCCTTTCCCATATAGTTGTATCTGTCTCTTCGCGAAAAGCGTGTAAACGGCAAGAACAATACAATGTCGTGTTTTACAGTTTTTCTGGATTAAGGTATTTATTTGAATAATTATTATGAGAGATGTTATTTTATTTATATATTTGAATAGAAGTATTTTTTACCCTTGGTTAAATGGCTTAACGTAGCATAGGTAATGATGCAGATGGTTATGCTACAAAGCCTCTTCAAGCAGGATCTAATAACAAGAAGGAGGCATTTAAGAGGCGAAAAATAAAATATGGTGACATAGTTCTCAGTTAATATTTTTGTCAATAACTGTGACGGTAATGAGCGGTCTCTTAGTTTAATTTGAAATAAGTTTAGATATGTAGAGCAGGAAACCACCAAAATTAAAAAGGCAAATTTTATCCAAGTATAAAACATAAGACACTACATACAGTTAAAAAAACAAATTTTTTCAATTAAAATTAGAGTTTCTATGCCAAAACAAGCAATTCGGTCAGCGGACAAAACAGCAGATTTTTCGAAGCACAGAACTGAAAGTTTACTTTTGGTCCTACTTGACAAAAAGACACTGAAGGTGCAGAAACGGATTTAATTCACTATTCTACTAATAGCGTTCAAATGTAAACAAATTGCTGTTTCATTAGGCTTAGTGGCATTTAAACAATTTTTAAATTGTTGATAATTCTACAACTATTGCATGCAGATTAACTAAAGGCCTAAAAAACCTTAACAGGAACTTAAGAACAACATAATTCAATCACTTTTAAAGCAAAAAATGCACAATTTACCAACATATAAGAATAAAACGACTGAGCTCACCTTGTGGGTGACAGAGTATATATATATATATGTGTGTGTGTGTACTTTAGGTGCGGCCGATTGCAACCAAAAGAGAGAGGTGCATAACTACATATTATAGTATTATAGCACTAGCATATAGAAAATTTCAACGTTCTGAGCTACTTTTTTTTTTAGTTATGAGAGATACATACATACGTACGTACGTACTGATGTTACCAAAAAAAATCTCTTCTGAACCCATTTTAAATCTATTTTTCAATCCGTTTTGGGAAGAAAGGTCCTTTTTTTCTGTCCGTACCATGGACCTTATGAGAAATAGACTAACCCAAATGGATTTTCTTTCTCGTCTGACGTGTTCCCTGCTGTCACCTTGATCACATCCGGAGGAGTAGGGACGGCTTGCAGAAATTTAACAGTGGTTGCCTATTGCAGCGTGTATAATTGTCAAGAAAAAGCTGGTTGTAGCGCCTCATTTCACAAATTAGAATTTTTAGTATTTTTATTTTTGAAACTGAGATTGAGTTTTAAAAATTTAGCATATTTATCAAGCATAATTAGAGTTCCAAATAATTATAAAGCTATTGCATGCTTTCAGGGCTGGATATTTTTTTAGCTTTTCCTATGCTTTAAGGAAATTTGTAACTTCTTCTTATAGAAAATAATATTTTAAATCTGAACTAATAGAAAATTTCAAACAAGCAATTTTTATGCTTTTTATTGGTATAAATAAGTAAAAAATACTAAAATATTTAAAAACGAATTTTTGAAAGTTTTGTTTAAAAATCTAAATTATGCTGCTTTTAATTTTAATTTATTTAGCTCGAAGCGGCATTTTGCTCTGTTTCACTATAAATGTCCGTGTCTCCTTGCAAATTGTTGTTACCAAATATTATCGCCCTATATTATACTTAAAGAAATTAAATAATGAAGAATCTGCATGAATACATGTATGTTTCTCGCACTGTGACAAAAACGACGGTATCTAGAGCCATCAAATTCTAAATAATGTAATCCTCCACCCGAACATGGGCATCTGGACGGCCGAATTTCGAATTTGGTTTAATTTATTTTATACTTTGTAAAAGTTTAACCAATTTTTGATTAAAAAACTCAACGAGTTCAAAGCGAGCAATCGTAACACTGTACGGAAAATAACATTTTTATCTCCAGTGCGGAAATTCTAAAGATATGCTGTTTTCAAATGCTTGTGGTTTACGGGCGAAGAACATGATATTCAATAAATATAGGTAACTCACAAAACTTTAAAAAAGGTTCCTTTTGGGCGTAATATAAAATTTGAATGCTTCTCGATTTTATTTTGTCTTTTTTTTTTCTTCATTACATTCAGAAAATTTTATGCTCCGAATATTATAAATTACTAAAATAAATAATCCACTTTAATGTTAATAATTTAGTGATGAATAAAATAAATAATCGTTTTGTAATGTTATTATAGTTTTAAAAATCACTGCCTGAAAACATTCATTAATTTTTTTTTTTAAATTATCAGATCTTGTTTAATTTTACCTTATTTATTTCAAAGCATCACGTACTATCAATCTTATTTAATTTTACTTACTTTTTACGCAAAATTAAGTTCATAAATTTTGTGTTTAGAGTTTTTACCGTTTTACCAAAATAAAGATGTTTGTACAAGAATTACGCGTGAAAAAAAATGCGCGAAATACATTAAAAAGTGCTTTAATAAGATATATTAAATCCTATTTGAAAAAAAACTGTGACTTTCATAATCTCATCACTATACAAAGTATCACATTTAATAATTAAAAACAGTTATGTGATACAAACGACATAGGTTTCAGTGTTAAAGTAAACCAGATCGTCCCTACTCTTTCTTGTGGACATGTCGGTGACGCGCGCCCCGCCCACTGGGTTAGCCTATCTCTTATAAAGTCCATGGTCCGTACCTGCTGATGTCACGCAAACACGTCGTTTAAAGGGATTCGAGAGCAGTCACAATGGATATTTTCGTTGTAATATGATATCCGAAATGTTTCGCAATTACAGTCCTTCCTTTGCTTCGTCAAAGAAGTCAAAATACAAATTGCAGAAACGTTAGGTTAATTGAAAAAGACGGAGAGATGAAAAATTAGCAACCGCCTTCGCCGGGAATCGAACCACGGACCTCTGGATACCGGCCCAACGTGCAGAACCACTATACCACGAAGGCACGCTAGGAAAGCGGGAGAAATGCCTTATATACTCCCCTTTTTAAAGGGCGACTGGAGTTTTTAGGGGATCCAGTCGCCGAATCCTGGGTGTGGATAGTCATCATCCACAACCCTTTTAGTTCGGGCGCCATTGTAGAGACATTAGGTTAATTGGGAAAGCCGGAGAGATGAAAAATTAGCAACCGCCTTCGCCTGGAATCGAACCACGTACCTCTGGATAGCAGTCCAGTGTGCTGAACCACTACACGACGAAGGCACGCTAGGAAAGCGGGAGAAATACCTTATAAAATAAATTACTTTTTTCATGCATTTTAATCTAGGTTCCTTAAAAGTGCTTTGGGAGTTTTTTATTTTAATTATGTTACATTTACTTTTGCTTAATTTGTACTGAAGCATATGTCTGTTATTTTCCTTAAGCTTTGTCTTGCAATCGATTTGGGGGGAAAATCCTGAAATTAAAAACGTTTAGTGCTGAACTCTCGTATTATGTCGGAGTAGTATTTCCGTATGTTGAAGAGACTGATGCACGGAAATTTTATGGTTTTCTCGATACCTAAACATGAGCCAACTTCCTTTGTAACTTTATGCACGAAGACATTTTTTCTCATACTCAGGTAGCACTAGACTCCTTTATCGGTAAAAATTCCACAAAGATGTTCTGTAACATTTTAAATGTTTTAAATGAAAGTGAAAATAATGTTTCATACAATGACCTGAAGAGTAAAAGCCAGGCTTGTTAAATAATTGCAATCTTCTTTTATAAGAACTGTTTTTAACAGTTATAAATATTCTGTTTTAGAGATGGCATCATTTGTTCTTGAAATTATAAGTGATGATTACTTTTTCAACTTAAGTTATAAACTGTAATGAAAACTTGTACTTATTTCTTTTTTTAGAAGGAGCCCAAAGCCAAAGAAAGAAAGCTGTCGATTCGACGTTCATTCGTTTTGGACGCAGCTCTTCAGCTGAGGGTGTGGTTGACCGAGATTCTTCGGATGACGTCCCTCCATCCTCAGCCGTTCTTTCTAAATCACTTTCCGAAATGCAGCATAGCGGAGACGATCGACTTGTTGACTCTTCCTCAGAGTTACAGGACAACAACAAGGCCAGTGTTGAGGTGCCCAGGCGATTTATCGTGAACCACAATGGCTGCCGAGTAAGCAGCAGTCAAGAAATTGTCAGAGCCTTGATGAACGATCGTAACTGCATTCGAGCGTTCCAGAAAGTGAAGCGTGAGAACGTGAATGATACCTTCATAAGATTCGGTAAGCGCGAGGCACCCCCTGAGAAAGAATTTGAACCTTTAAATTCGAACGATGGCACGTAAACTTCGATATACGAGGGCGGGAGGCACAAATGACATGATACCACCAGACATCTAGATTCTCCCTCTTAAGTTCCATTTTCGATCATTTTGAAGGAACTTTTTTATTGTAGAATGACATTCATTTTTAGTTTGCAGGGAGGAGGTTGAGGCAGAAATCGATACTGAGGTTTTGTTTTCTTATTGTACCTGGTTCACTAATCGCTATTCTCGCTTCGTGCAATTGCTCAATAATAGCATATATTTTATAGACTCTTCTTGTCTTTTATTCACCACTAATCATATAATTATGTATAAATTTGTGTATATATGTAGCATGTATATTTAATATATTATATTAATTGAGATTGCTAATTATTTTGTGTCAGATAAATGTCAGCGCGTTGTATTTAATTTTCTAAGAATGCTATGAAAATATTTAAACACGTTACTTAATCAACTTATGATACTTAGAGAACTGAGTTTTCGGGAATTTAATGAATACTGCTTAATTCTGAAGCATTAATAGCCCTTTGTTGTCTGCATGCTTTTTTAATTTTTTTTTAAAGTTTTACTTGATTTAGTTTACCAAAAAAAGCGTATCTTTAATTCGTAGTCTTAATCTGAATAATAATTACTTGTGGGTATTTTTATTAGATAACTAAGTAGCATTAGTTTTAATTATCTGAATAATTAACTTATTTCAAATTAACTTTAATTGAAATTTAATGTGTTCCGTTTGCATTTACTTTCAATATTGATATGCTTCATCTTGAGTTCGCATGAAACTGCTAAGGTAGGACTGAAGTTTACTTATGATTAAATATTAATTTTAAAAAAATGCGAATATATTTAATAAATAGTGAAATGGTATGAATATCATTCTCTTCTGAAAGTTCTTTTAAACATATATTGAAGACAGAAATTTGAAAATTTGAACTGTTAAATAAATATTTTGCCAGTTAAAAATTCAGAAGTATTTAATATATCTTCTATTTGAAATAGATAAATTTTGTTCAAGTGAAATCATATCAATTTAAAAAATACAAAAATAATAACATATTCCATTTTTGCGCACTTAAATAACTATAATGTGCATTTAATTGTGTAATTTTAATTCAAAAATAAAAGTAATAATATATATAATATATTCATAATAATCATAACTTGTATATAATTAATATTCCCTTTTCGAATAATCAATAAATATTTAAATTTGCTGAAAGTTGTCCTTTTCATGAATATTTTGCATGAAGAAATTATAAAATTCCTTATAAATGTTCTTTGAGTCGAAATTTACATGAATACAAAATATGCGTGTTCTAGTAATCTTACGAAAGTTTAGCATAAAATTCAGTAAGATATGTAAATATGTGTAATATATAAAAATCATAGCATTTTAGCATTTTTCTGTTAGAAATGTTTTGACATTGTAATTAATCTTTTTCATTCTTTCATTACCGGAAATTATTAAATGAGATATTAACATAGAAAAATGCAGAAATTATGTTTAAGAAATTTTCTCATGTAGCAAAAAGCATTTTCTAATGTTTTTTTCTCATTATTACACATTTTTCTCCTTTTTAGAATACTTCTGTTCATAGCGACTCCATTGTTTTCTTCATATGTAAATTATTTCATTATTTTACGTAATCTTCATTATTTATAACGTATTGATATTAGCTTAAGATAATTTTTGTGTATATATGATTTATTTTACTCTTGGCTTATAAAACTGTATGCGCTTTTTTGTTTGATATGTACTTTAAAATTAAAAATTAAAACAAGTATGGTATATTTGCTAATATCATCAAATATGTATATATTTTCTTATTAAAAACTTTATCTTAAAACCACTATTTCATGAGTTTAACTATAAGTCCTAATTTACTTTTGTACAATAATTGCAAATGATATTTGAAATGAGCATTTATGGAATATTATTAACATTATTTTGGAAATAATCTTTCCAGATTAAAATTAACTCCAAAAGTATAAACTAAATAGAATATTTAAATATATTCTTGTTTGAAATTTTGAAAATAAATTATTTACTTAACTCTCAAATTTTTGAATTGAATATTTCTAATTTTATCAAAATTTCAAAATATATGTAAAGTGTTACTTAAAAGCTTCTGTTCTGTTTAAACTTAATTTTATGTAATTTTCTCAAATGAGCGGATATCTGCTGGTGAACCAGGTACCTTCAAGCGTTCATCTCGTCTTAGGTGTTCAGTTACTTTTAGAATGGTGTGATTTGATTTTTATCAAAATTGTTATGACTCGACCCTTGGAGTCATCGCCGCACCGAATCTTAAGAAGTAATCACGTGAAAGAGGAGTTGATCTCCTCTGTAAAAAGAGAAGAATTTGTTTTGAAAATATATATAATATTTATAAAGAACGCAGAGCGTTCTCTGATAACTTATGAATTATACATGAAATGAATAAAAATAATTCAATGATTTATTTAAGTTATTTTTTTATTTACTTCTTTATTTATGAACTGTTTCTTTCAACACTGTAACAAATTACTAAAACGAAAAGAAACTTTCAATAAACACTACACAAAGTAAATCAGAAATGAATTTTATCAACAAATTTTAAGTACTAGATAAATGAATTGATTATTGCCTAAAATAAAAGGCAAAGCATATTATCAGTTTCTTCTATGAATTGTAAATTTCACATACTACTATATACACTTTGCATTTTATATTTATTCTTTTAATTTTCTTCATTAAAAACACAAGCGATTCCCTATGTACCACAAAGTATCACATGGGGCTCACAGAAGTAAATATTAAAAAATATAAAAAATAAACAGTAAAAAGTAAAAATAAAAAATATAGAAAGATAACTACAGTACAAAGTCTTTAATCCGGACTCGTCGGGACTTCGGCGATTCCGGATTAGGGGTTTTTCCGGATTATAGATCCTCAATTTAAATCTGGTAAGATGGCATGCAGAAATTATAAAATTAAAAATATGAAACCGTAATTTATGAAATAAAGAGCAACTATGATCTAAAGGGAATTAAAATTTAAAAAAAGCGCTTAATATTTATTTGTTTACTTTATTAACCATTTCTGTCAATGTAAGTTGTTTAAGTTGCTTCGTTTTATGTGCTAATACTTTCTCTTTAATTCTATAAATAAACATAATACAGTTACAAATTTCCGCTGTTCAAGTCCTGTAATTGCTATGTGCCGAGAATACCGAGTAACTTGTCAATCGAATTTCTTTCGTTTTCACTAACCTCTGTGTCACTTTCATCATGCCTTTATCCATTTTTTGCAGCCATTCCACTTTTTGTTTGAGGGACATCGAAACATGCTTTCGCTTTGTAGATCCTTTGGCAGCTCCAAAATCGGAAACTCTTTTTAACATAATCGAAAGTTCAAGCTAACTTTTTATAAAATTGCTCTAACAGTCTGCAAAAAATAAAATAAGCCGGATCCAATTAGAAGATTAAGGAACAACGCAATCTGCAACATTAGCTGAAACAGATAATTAGATAGTTTTAGCCTAGCTTATACCGTCCGTTACACATTAACGCTACGCATGCGCAAAAATTTTGTAGCTTTGAGGTCCGGATTATAGATCATTCCGGATTATGGACGTCCGAATTAAAGACTTTGTACTGTATAATTTACTTAAACAATCAGAGGCCTTCTCTTAGAAACAAAGTGAAGGAAATCAAGGTAATATTTTTAAATTCCACTTTTAAGATCTTTGTTTTATAGATTCATTAGGATTTTTGAAGTAGGAATCACGAAAACTGAGCAACGCTCTCGACAGGACTCGAGCCTGAAGCTCTCGAATACGCGCCGAGTGTGCTACCGTTACACCATGAAGACATGCAGAAAGGGGAGGGAAAATACCTTATATAAGCCCGCTTTTTAAAGGGCGGATTAAAATAGATAGCGCTACACCACGAAGGCATGCAGAAAGAAGGTAGAAAATACCTTATAGTTTCACCGTCAAATTTGGAACACAGAAGAAGCACATATTCAAAATTTTCCTCGTCATCGACATTTCAGTCTCAAAAATCTCTAGATAATAGCATAAAATCTGCTCAGATAACTTCCAAAGTTTCCTTGACCAGTAAGGAATTGGGTCATTTTATAGTGTGGAAAAAAATCATGACATGACAGTCTCATTTCGATGGAAAGGGAAAATCAATTATTTAAGTTTCCTTTACATGAACTAATGTATTAATGATTCCACAACTCCACAATCCTTTCAATCATGAACTTTTTATAAAAGGACGTTGACAAAAATGTTAGTTTCGTGCTTGGTGGCATTCTTTGCAAGAAAAATAGGCTCGTTCATTCGCAACAACACCCATATGTTCACGAACAAATGCAAAAGCAACATATATGTTTTAGCCTTTTAAGTTTTTAAGTTTTTTTTAATCTCGCCAATTAAGTTATTAGAAAAAGAAATACATTTTAGGATCTTCAATAGTTGAAAGAGAATCGGTGCAAATGAGATTGTCTGAAATAGCACTATTTTGTTCAGTGATCCAGTTGATGATGAAGTTTAAACACAAAAGTTCAGCTATAAAAACCGAACATTCATTTCTAATTCTAAATTGAAAGTGATCGAATTCAAGACCATTTCTGAAGACAACAAATGCTAAACCAACTCTGCCATCAATTTTACTACCATCAGTATAAAAAGTTACAGGGAAATCGTCTGCGATTTTATTGCTAAATTAAAAAAACATTAACAGGATTTCTTTCTTAGAGATGGAGGCAAAACACAGTCAAAATCAGAGACAGAAGATGCAGAGAGATTTTCCCTAAAGGCAATATTATGAAGAATGGCAATGTCGATTGGAAGAAAACAAGACTGAATATTCATTTTGAAACAAATATGCTACTTTACTTCTTGTAGAATTAGTTCGTGATTGTGCAAAAATATCAAAAATAATGTAATATAAGATGAAATGAAATTCTGCACGGGAAGAATGTTTCAATATTAAAAAGCTGCAGTGCCTTAGGTGCTTAAAAATTGCGTTTCGATATTGAAAAATTATATTCTACAGGTGTAATTTCATTCAAAATTTTGTAATATTTTAACGCGGTCATATTATTTATTTTGTATTACATTTGTAGCAATGCGCTTCCCATTGTAATATTTCTTTTATAGAAGTTAACATTTCAACACATTAGAAATATGTTAATAATAAAGCTAACAAGAAATAATTAATTTTAAACCCAAATTGCTTTACCAGAGCTGTTTTAATTTTCGAATTTTTCCTTCGTGAGAAATCTCGCCAAATGAGAACAATGAAATGTTAAATTTGTTTTTTGTAGCACATTTGTTTTCTCAAAACAGTCGCATTATGCTGTAAACGATAATTTTTAATGGACGCATATTATAGAATATAAATATTTTTCAGAATTTACGTTAAATGGCTAGCATTTTTCGTATTTGCTTTTACTTAAAAAACTGCGTATGTTCTCTTAATATATCCATAACATGAGCTGAAGGGATATGAGCTTGATATTTTTGTTCACAGTAAGTGTCAATAAGCAATGTGAGTTTGAAAACTGTATTGGGAATATATATATAAATATGAGAGCTGTTTCAAATTAGTTGATTGAACGAATATTTCGGATGGTATGAAAAGGATGCTGAGAGCAATTATTTGTCTAATCACAACATAGAAGGAATTAAAAGAAAACAATAAAATTAACATTTCAACATACATTACAGTTTAAAAATAAATTTAGGATCTTTCTAGTTAAAATTCTTTATTCGTTCTTTCTTTGTTATATTAAAAGCAAAATCAGAATTTTTTTATATTTAAATTATCGCATCTAATTTCAATTAATTGCACTAGTTTAAAGTTTTATACATCACGTGTGTTACTTCGCTTTAATTTTGGGACAACACTTCAGTTTGAATATTAACAAAAATTAGCTTTTATTTTTCCAATCTACAGCTTGACGTGCGGTTCCAATCTGTCAGCCGTTGATAACACCAGTCCCGGAACCCTGCCGCTTGCAGATTTCTGCGTTTGTTGTGCTCGCTCTATCTACCAACTGCATAGCCATTAATCTTGTGTTCCACTTCTATTGAAATGCAAAAGTAATGTACACAAAAACGAATAAGATAATCTGAAGTGTTTCAGATTTTAAATTACGTCCAAAAGGCGTTTTTTTAACATTTTGTACGTTAACTTTATTTATTAAATATCACGTTCTTCGCACTCAAACCGTAAAATTCAGTTCAATAGCAAATCGCAAATTAATTTTAAACTGAGCATATCTTTAGAATTTCCGATACACAGTCTCGCGCGCTGGAGATAATATTTTTTTTTTTTTTTTTTTTTTTCTGTACAACGTTGCCATTGCTCGCTTGCCTTGAGTTTATTAATCAAAAATTCGTTAAAGTTTTACGAAATATGAAATCGATAATAAAAAAAATTCCAGATTTCAAATTTGGGCTTCCAAATGCCCATATTTGCAGTAGGATTACGTCATTCAAAATTGGATAACTTTAGCTACCGTTGTTTTATCACAATGCGAGAAACAGACATACATTTATGCAGGTCCTTCATTATTTAATTTCTTCAAATATAATACAGGGCGATAGTATTTGTGGCAACAGTTTGAAAAGTGAAACGGACATTCAGAGTCATTCGACGCAAAATCTCAAAACGAAAACAATAGTCCCTCAGGGATCAAGCTCCCTTTGGACTAACAACAGGCGCATTTCCGCAAATAATGCGTAAATTCCCAGGCACTTTCCTGTAGGGGTCACTATCAGGCATTCCTTCAGATATGTATAGATTAAGTCTACATATAGCAGTTTTAACCGGTTACAGCCGAAAACATCGCAGACGAAAACGTCGCGGAGAAAACAACGCAAGGCGAAAACGTCGTGCTACAAAACATCGTGGGAGAAAACATCGCAAAGAGAAAACATCGCAGTTCTAAAACATCGTGGTACAAAACATCGTCGTCGAAAATAAAGCGGTTCAAAAACTTCGCAGTTTAAAAACATCGTCGTCGAAAATATCGTAGGAAAAAATAATGTATCTACAAATTATCGCATGACGATAACATCGCAAACATGCTTTTTTCAGGCTTTAATAACTATACATGGATATTCCCGTAATGATTTGTGAGCACAAGATGGAAAGAAGGATAATTTTTACTTTCATATTTTTTATTAATCAATAAATTTTGCTGAGAAAATAAAAAAAGAAACTTAAGCATAGAAAATTAATGCAACTTATTGCACTAATAGAATTTTAAACCGACATAGTTAACTAACAAAGGCCATTAATAAATCATTTTTTTGTAAAGTTTTCACTGATAATTTTTCATGAAAAGTATAATCTATAAGTTGCATTTAGTTTCTATGCTTAAGTTTCCTTCTTACTTTTTTTCAGCAAAATTTATTAGTTAATAAAAAAATGTGAAAGTAAAAATTATCCTTCTTTACATCTT